AGCTAGCAGTGCGGTGCGGGGCGAAGCAATGCAAGCTCAAGTACTTACCGAAAACACTGTCGACCAAAACAACAAACTCACGACATGCGTTCTCAGTAAGAATACTGTGAGTTTGCAAAAGCGTAGCACTAACAAAGCGAGGAAGCACTCTCTTTTTTACTCGCGGAGGATGCTTGAAGTCGATGCGAGGCAATGCGATGCCCAAAGTTAGGAGGAGCTGGGCAAAGCGTTGCCGAGCTCATTTCCCCCTCTTTAGTACGACTTCAGCATCCTCTGCCCTGCGGGCTCAGAAACCCCCCTCGCACGAGGATGGAGAAGTAGACCTGCCGAGACGGACAGAAAAGAAAGCAAGAGCGTGCTAAAGCACAAGGCGTGCAACGGCAAACATCTGATGCAGAGTTTGGTCTTTTCACGACGGTGAGAAAGTCAACGCAGTAGGCTGCGCTGTGCCTCGCAGAGGCGAGGGGGGAAGGTGTTCTCCTCCCCTCTTAGTGAAACCGTGTGCGAAGCAGAGGCGAGCTGTGCAAGGCTAATGCGTACCCGTTCTCTAGAGCGACGCTTAATAAAGGCAAGGCGGCCGCGGCTGAGAGCGTCAGCCCAGGTGTTCTTTTCGCCAGCCAAGTGTTCGACTTCCTGGACATGCTTTTGACGATATTATATCGTCAGACCTGGGTTGCCTGGACTCTGACGATATTTTTCTGACCCCGACGATATTTCAAATACAAGTAACATCCCGACGATATTTTGACGTATTTATGGATCCCGACGATATTTCCGGAGTCCCGACGATATTTCCCGAGTCCCGACGATATTTCCGGAGCCCCGACGATATTTCCCGAGTCCCGACGATATTTCCGGAGTCCCGGCGATATTTGCCAGAGTCCTGACGATATTTTCCCGACTCCCGACGATATTTCCAGAGCCCGACGATATTTACCCGAGTCCCGACGATAGTTCAGGGTTTAAATTTGACGACCTTAGTGGACGCGGCGTTTTGACGATGTTAGTGCTGTATTTGCATGGTTGCGTTCGCATCCACAGCAGACAAAGCAAGCGCAACCAAGCAAGCAACCAAGCCAGCAACTCATGAATCCCAATGAAGTGCGACACGATCAAGTGTTTCAAGGTACATTCAACACTTCCCTGAGCAATTGGAGCAACCTACCAACCAAACAAGCAACCAAGCAAGCAACCGATGAATCCCAGTGCGATACGCTCAAGTGTTTCAAGGCAAGAACAACAATTCCATGAGCAACTGGAGCAACCACGCAGTCGATCAATCAAGCATATCAATGCACATCAATTCCCAACTCACCGACCGACGAATCCCAAGCAAGGGCGACAACACCCTCAAGGTACGCAGCAAAGCAACTGGAACAACCATGCCACCAGCATTCCAAGGCAACGTCGATGCGAATTCCAAGCATGCACAACCGACCGACTGACCGACCGACCAACTAAGTCACGCCAAGCACAAGCACCCAAGCATTCCAAGGCAACGTCGATGCGAATTCCAAGCATGCACAACCGACCGACTGCAGAACGACCGACCAACTAAGTCACGCCAAGCACAAGCACCCATCTGACTTCGATATGTTTGCCGGCATGCAGCGTGTGCCCTACGGGATGGATTCAACTGCAATTTGCTTTCGAGCTTCGGTGTCTTAGGGGAAACCTGAACGGGTTTTACGTTGGTAGCGGAGCATGGCTGGTAGTGGAGCATGGTCTTTTGTTGATGCTTGTAACTTAATCGCCATGGCGGCGGGAATAGTTGACGCTTGTAACTTAATCGCCATGGCGGCGGGAATATGCTGCAACCGAGATTTAGGGCTTCCAATTCATAAAGGGTTTAGAAATCATGCTGGTTTGGCAAGAATCGTCAGCACCGGGGTCGGTCTGTGACGTAGTAGCTTTGCGTTTTGGGCATTATTGTTTTGTGGTGCTCTGGTGGGTTTTAGTTGGAAGGTCGAGCAGCTGCATGCTAGACTCTTATATCACTTTTTTGGACCGTATACGTCCTGGAATCCAGGACATTTTGTTTTTATGTCTCTCGAGTGTTTACTTTAAACCAGGGGACTGTGATCACTCGTAGCACTTTTTATCTCATCATGGGGGACCATTGAAAGCTCTTCAATGTCATGTAGCGACGAGCCCAAGATACCAGTTGCACCGCCGCATGGCATCCAGCAGCCACACTCCTTAGCTGATTGACTGAACAGCTGCATGCCCCAAAAGGGTTCGAACTACAACAAATAAGTTCAGACAGGGACAGACAAGAGTGATCAGTAAACAGCCAATTTTCTTCATATACTTCATATGGTCTTCGTCACCAAAGTTGGAACAGTGCATAAAGTTCAGCTTTGTTTGCGCGACTTCTGCGATCATGTGAGATGCATAGTGGTGCTTTGGTCTCATCTTGTAAAGTAATTGAGACAGTCCATATGCACGGGCAGCTGCGTATTGGTACAAGAGCAGGAAGGTTTCGAAAAGCCACACGGATTCTTCTGTTTCTCCATCGGTCATGTGGGGCTTGTGGGCGGTCCCAGCCACAGACCAGGCAGCATCGAGAGACCACAGCATACAGTCACGGGCCCTTCTCCAATGAGCTGTCTCGGAACTGCAATCGTCCGGGTCGAGCTGTTTCTCGAGCTCCACGGCGAAGTGGGTGACGAAGGCTAAAAGATTCCTGCATCTCGATGCTTTGATCGTGGAGCTCAATTCAGGATATTTCAGCGTCGCATTCAGCGAGTCCATTGTGATCGGATTTATTCCAAGATCCAATCGTCTTTCCTTGCACCACGCTTGAGCTCTGGATGTGAACCGGTACAGAATCTCATTCGGCTTTGGCGACTGGTCCTGCAAATCCAAAAACCTGGACATCTCACCTCACGGGCTGGCGGAGCTATATGTCTCTACGGAGCTACAGCTACACAGAGTCCTGAGCGGGATAATGACACAACAAACATCAAGCTCCTGCTCTTGTTGCCTCCCGGAGACCCTTCCGCAAAGTTTCCAACATGACAGAAGCCAGGAGGTCGCGGAGCACGCCCAGATGTACCAGATGCATGACTGCAGGGGCAGGTTGAAGTTGAAAGGCATGTTTTGTGCATAATATGATGACTTGTAATGATGGAGAAATAATTATGTGCTTCGGCCCTGCCATATCATATGCAGACAGGCCGCCGTCGTACAGCCGTCTGCGACGGGTGTAGCCCTCGACTTGCTTCCAAGGAGAAACATCGTTGGCGTGCGGAGCTGGGTGGGTGTGCTCCTCGGTTTGACGCCATCCAGCTGTAGCACTCAAGTCGCCAGAGTTGAGGATGACGTCGCTGTTGCAAGCCAGACACCAGTCGCATATATACTTGCGAGTGTAGTTGCGACAGAGTTCATGGCTCTTCATGTGGGCTTCCTGGTCCCCTTTCCAGAATGCGAAGACGGCCTTGACCGGACAGCGTTTCCCAGCTCGCCGCTGCCTGTTTCTGAATTGCAGGCTTATATAGCTCCATGGATATTTCTGTAAACCCCGAAACCATTAAAATATCTGGACAAGGATACAGTACCCCTGCCTTGTGGACATCTTTGGCCACTCGTTGCCGTCCCAGTCGTGCATTGGAAAATATCCTTCTTTCAGTGACTTGAGGTCCCACGATATTATCCTGGCAATAAAAGTACGAGTTTGCTTCGCAATCCGAGATTGCACACCAATGATGCAGAACCTGCTGATCTCGGACCTTTGGTTGGTCAAGGCTGAACACCACGACCAAAATACCACAGTCTCTCGCTTCGTGGTTGGCACACCGTCTTCATGAAAAAGCAGCGGATAAGGATAATCTGAGTGGTCGATCAGGCCCTTGTAGACAGGATCGATCTCGCGATCCCACCATTCTCGCACAGATCCAAAGCCTTCAAGGCAGGAGGAAAGGAGCCCGCGCTTGCTCAACTCCGCCAAGACATCAGAAGGCAACACGATCGAAGCAGGTGTTGTTACCAACCTCAGAAGCAAATGAAACGGTGCCGTGTTGGACATGGTGAAGGTCGTCGGCAGGCGCAGCTTATAAAAGAACAGTGTAACATACCAACCAAATGCTTCGGACACGGGTCTGCTTGTCTTCCCTCTCTGCTGTCGTGCTGAACACAGGAAGTTGCACCTTGACGGGCTCGAAAGGGAGCCTCATCCATTTGTAGGCATCCCGTTCTTGTGCAGAGGACGCCATCTGCAGGAGGTCCCGTCTTTTCACACCGTCGTTGGCAAAGGCTTTCGCCAGTTTTTGGCTCTTAGAGTAGCTCATTGCCTTAGATACCATGGGTCGGAAAATGTGCAACGTTGCTTGATTATACGGCTTGTTCATCCTCACGGACAAGTAAGTAATATTCTCACCTGCAATTCCTGGCTGCTCCTTTGCCCACCTCTTCGGCGAGCATGCGAGCTCCATGAGATTGGAAATCGTCTGTAGATCTGCGGAAGCAGGTCAAGTTAGAGCATGCTACATCAGCACATGAAGTAACAAACGTGGCAGAATCACATCTTCCGCAGCTCGTTTCGTCCATCCCCGCATTGTCGTACCTGCCAATCAAAAAATGCTCCATTCTGGTAGCAGCAGAGGGACAAAGCTTGGAAGAGGATCCTGATGCAGCATGTTTTTTTGCAGCTCGCCGCTGTGGTTCCGTACAATATACCTGTATAGGCTGCTGGTTCATCCAGCGCCTTGTGCGTATGTGCATGTTCACTGCAGTCGCAGTGATCGTGAGCACGATTGCACATGCTTTCAGATGTGCCCCAAAAGCACGTGCAGGTCTTGGCCCAGTACTTCCATCCGGAGCACACACAGACATATATATATATATACACGCCAAATACAGTACGTTACTGTCATAGACTCTGCACGTGCAACTGCATAACCCTTGGAAAGAGGAGACCTCCTCCCCTATATGTAGCTGCACCGGCAGAGATCTCAATCCTGATCTGCACGTGCAGAACCCTGCACTGTGATCCATTGGATCTACTGCTTGTCTTTCCTCTTTCTGCTAGCCTTGGCTTTGGGTTCCTTGGTCGGGCCCAAGGCTAAGTTGGCAGCTTTGATCAGCGAGGCGGCCGTCTTGATGGTTCGATCGGACTCCTGTTCAATGGAGCAAGCAAAGAGATGGTACTACGTATAGGTCATGCAAGAACACAATCTTAATGGACCGTGACCTGCTTCAGCACAAGGAACTCGCGGCCCAAAGGGAGGTAGAGCTGCTCGTCCTCAACCTGTTTCTTCATCAGGTCGCTGACCTGGTCCCACACATTCCTGGGAAAGCATATGGGAATTCAAGTCATGGGAGATGTCAGTTTGCATTGTCGATTTGGCTGCAAACAAGGGGGCTGGAACTTCTGCTCATAAGCCGTCAGCTCCTCCAAACATTTCGCAGCGTAGACGTTGCCCTTGAGCTGAGTAATCATCTTGTGTGTCTCAGTCACCTTGGCCATGACCTTGTTGCGGAGGTGCGTGCAAGTCAAACCCATCCCACCAACCACCCCCCTTTTCACCACCATACAATACTGTGGCGGGGCACGTGGTTTAAAAATGGTTTCACAAAAGTGGAACCGATATAAATGGAGTTATCTTGAAAAGTCAGTCCAAATATATTCGTATGAAATCGCAGTCAGAGTATTTCAACTGACATGCATGTACAAGACCGCAGGCACTGACATGTAGCAGACTCTCGCGCAACGATGTTTTCCCTCTTTGTTGGATCGGAATCCCCATTCGGCGAAGTGCATGTGCTGCGCTTGCAGCGCCTTAGGCGAAAGCAAGCCTGCCCACTCCAAGCACATGCAAGACGCCAGGGTTGGGAGGGTGGGAGCTTCAAAATCTCACCACTTGACCCTGTGGCTGCCATGCAATAGACATGATTCGCATGCAGCATAAAATAATCAATCAAGATAAAAAGGGAAGAATCTCTGCAAAGATTCACGCGTTCAATTTCCCCCAAAAAGGAACGCCCCCGCAAGTCCAGCTTCTTCGAAGCCTAGTGTCCCAGTTTCCGGAAAAAGGAACACTCAAAATCAAAAAGAAAATAAAAGCTCCAAAGAGCTTTTGCCTCCCGCAAGAGAAGGTACACGCAGTGTACCAAGCACATGGGTTTGAAGAGCACACACACTGACGCAACAAGTCGCGAACGCGTGCGTGCAAGTCAAACCCATCCCACCAACCACCCCCCTTTTCACCACCATACAATATTGTGGCGGGGCACGTGGTTTAAAAATGGTTTCACAAAAGTGGAACCGATATAAATGGAGTTATCTTGAAAAGTCAGTCCAAATATATTCGTATGAAATCGCAGTCAGAGTATTTCAACTGACATGCATGTACAAGACCGCAGGCACTGACATGTAGCAGACTCTCGCGCAACGATGTTTTCCCTCTTTGTTGGATCGGAATCCCCATTCGGCGAAGTGCATGTGCTGCGCTTGCAGCGCCTTAGGCGAAAGCAAGCCTGCCCACTCCAAGCACATGCAAGACGCCCATGCGAAGCCGGAGCCGAATCATCACCACTTGGTCCGAGCCCGCTTGGGCCCCTTTCGTGGCCCGGATGAAACCCCTCCCCTCTTTGTCAAGGCAGTCTTTGCCTCGACCAGCTCCGAATGAAAGGATGCGGCTGAAGCCAGCAACGAACCCAGTACGATCCAATCGATCTGGGCCCCATCCACAATCAGCCTTCTCCCAGGATCGAAGCGCTCGAAATTTTGATTTGTCAAATCATCGGCCCACTGATTTTTCTCCCTCGGAACCCAGTGAAGGTCGAGGACCTGGTTGGTGCTCCTCAGGGTCTCCGAAAGCTCCATGAGCAGCAGAGGCAGTGGGAACTTAGTGGACATGAGCTTGGAGACCGCGTAGCTGTTTCCCTGGTTGTCCGTACCGCCGGTGATGTGTCCAGCGGACCTCCCATCCTTCAGCATTCGCTTTCCCCATAGCTTGACACAGATCAAGGTACCCAGCAACTCGAGGCTCGGAATGGTGCGCTTCAAGTCCTTCTTGATGAAAGCCCAAGGCGCCCAGCTCTCGAGAACCTCAACGGCGTACCATTGCAACACCTCCTTGCCGTCCCATAGATAGCCACCAATCCAAGAACAGTTCTCCTCTGCTTTAGCATCCGAGAAGAAAGTCAAGCCTTGATCCGCTGGTGCCTCGGCGATCTGCATCGGGGACTGAAGCCGTTCCCCTGATCTGAAGCGGTTCGCCATCCACGATAGGATGGATCTCAGCATCACTGGCAGCCTCAGTGTCCCTCTGTGTCCCCGAGTGGCAGATGACCAGGAGTAGAGCGGCCCCAGAATAGGGGCGCTCCCAAGAGAGAGCATTTGCTCCAAAGCTCAATCGTCCAAGGCCGCATGCAAAGTCATCCCAAGTGACGGTGCCAGTCTCTGCAAGCTTTGATGCCCAATCCGCGAGCCATTGAGCCCTCCTCTCAGATATGCCCAGTCTGAAGGTCGAGTACGAAGTCTCGTACCCGATCCACTGCACATTTAGCCCCCCTTTTGTCTTCGTCCACTTGAACGGAAATCCCAGGCAGGCCAACAGCGCGTAGGCGAGCACCATCCCCCGGCGACCCGCCTTGTCGCCCCCGATCATCTCGACGTCATCCGCGAAAAGAAGCATCTCCAGCGCTCGCCTCCCAGTCAGGTGGTGAACCAATCTGATGGATCCCCCGGAGATTCTGGCCCACCAGTACCCAGCGCTTGCCAGTCCGAATGTGCCCACACAGTTCAGGTACACGATGCAGTCCCGAGAGGATGCTTTGCATGCCAAGTACCCCCACTCGTCCTTCCGATGTTTGAAGCGCCGGTGGGCCTTTGTTATGTCCCCGGTGACTGCCATTGGAGCCATCCTGTCGGCCCGGAGCCGCCGAAGGAGATAGCGTTTCTCTCTGGCTCCCGGTGATCGAACTTTGTCGAGGCAGCGTATTCTGTGGTTTAGCAGGACGTCGTGAGAGGCGTCGTGCACCACCCGTTTCTTCACCGGCGGGCCCTCTTCGACAATCACTGCTATCGCCGAGATCGCCGCCTCCTCCCCGTACTGCGCCCAAAAGGCCTCCTCGTCCATCTTTATCATCAGGCCCTCCTCCACCTCCGCGTCGAAGTGTTCCCGTACGAAATCCAGATTGTCCTCGGCCGACTCGTAGTTGGCCTTCCAGGATTGCGCCACGTCCAGAGGGCCCATCTCGAGCTTCCACTTCGTTTGGGGCTCGAAAATACTTGGCGTTCTGGGAAGCGCATGCTTAACCCCAACCGGAAACCCCTCAATCCCCTCAAGAAAGACTTCCCAATCAGGATCCGAGGCATCCTTCAGAAGTGCGGCGATAAGCCTTAGTCTGAAGGGCTGTCCAGGGTCGACCACGTTCAAGCTGTCCAGGTCTTGCACTTTGCCCTGGAGATGAGAGAGCAGGGCCGCTCGAAGCTTTTCATGCAGAAGCGGATCGGCGACCAATTTGCAGCCCATCTCGCCTTTCGCGGCCATCTCAAAGGGGATCCTGTCCAGTTTCTCCGGGCCGCCGGCGTGGTCAAGGAGGATCGCTTCAAGGCTCCCACGCAGCTTCTCCCATCCGTCCGCATCGCAGTACTTACGAGCACCAGGGTCCCATCTGCCCGGGGAGCAGAGCCCTGCCCCGTCATGAAAAGGGCGGCTTTCCCAAGGTTCACGGCAGACTCGTGCCGGGCCCTCACCGTTCCGGATGGGCGGCCACGTCGGATGATGAGGTAGCCGGACTTCCCTTGAATGGCTGCGCTCCACGCGTGGAGCGGCCCTAAGAAGGGCCTCTGCCAATCCAAGGCTATCGCAGCAAAGCCTAGCCGACCTAGCCCCTGCTGCATCTCCTTGGCCGTGACTTTGCCGAAGGTCACCTTGTCGTTAGCCACGCCGATAGCCAGGACGCCCGCTTCTTGGACATCCCTAGCCTGTAGGAGGAGTACTCTGTCTCCATTCCCAGCCACTCCACCCTATAGCCACCACGAGTCTTCGCCCACTTGAAAGGATATCCCAGAACAGAGAGGAAAAGGTAGCTCAACGGGATACCCCTTAAGGATCTTCTTGTCCCCCGCGGCCATCTCCCGTGCTCTCGCCACAGTATAGCCAGCCAGGACCAATCGCGTGCCCGTCCAGTCCTCCGTAGCGTGCCAGCGATGGGCGTCGAAGGAGATCCGACCCTTCTTCCATTCCAGGATGTCGCCATCTCACGACCCAGGATCAGTCTCCTCGCCAATCCCCCATCGCGTTGCATCCAGAGTCCGCCGTCCTTGAAAGAGGTGCATGCCAGGAGCAGATTTTCCGCCTGCCCGTTTGTAGAGTCTCTGTGCGGCGGTTGTTTCAGGTCTCTGAAGAGCGCAAGCGAGGTGAAAGATGCCCCAGGGAAGGCCGCCGCCAGGATCCTAGCGAGCAACTCGCTAGCCCATCGGTAGACACGAAGATTCTTCCTCAGCCCCACTGTCTCCTGATGGATAAAAGCCCCGGTCGTGAAAGAACGTTGTCCTTCCACTCTTGCAGCTGATTCTCGAATCCTGGTCTCATCAGGAAGGTCCCTTGAGAGGCCCAGCAAGTCCTCCTCCGTGACGAAACCTTGCTGAAGAAAGCGCAGCGCCCGGGATTCCAGTTCTCCCACATGCTCCCCCGATCCAGTCTGGCATCCCTTTACTGGCTCAAATCTGAAGATTTTCCCATGCTCCTCCAGTTCCTCATCCGTCGTGTCCGGCTCTGGCTCCGCCTCTTTCTCCCCCACGGCAGCAGTGGAGCCAAAGTCGGCCAGGATGGAAGTCGCGACCCATTTGCAGAAGTCTGGGGGCCACTGTTCGGTCCCCGTCGTGCTGAAGGGAGCCGCTGGTCGGCTTCGCATAGCAGTGGCCGTCGGATGCCGAGGCAGCGGTCCAGTGTAGAAGCCAGAATCATCGTAGGTGGGCAATCCTGCCCGCATGGATGCTGCCAGCGGTTGACGGGTTCGAAGCAAGAGTCGCGTCGGCTTTGCGTATTCAGTGCCAAAGTCCGCCTGGTGGAAGGCCGCATGCTGAGCCCGCGGGTGCGAGGACAGCTTACGGAAGCTCGGTCGTTGCCACATGGACGAAGGACGGCGGTCCGCGTCCAGGGCGCCCAGATCCTCTGGCTGTTCAAGCAGCAGAAAGCAGTCAGTCAACCCGAGGGCCGCCTCGGCAGCGGTCATGGCAAAGTCGGCGAGGTTGTTGCCCAGTTTTGCTTTCCGCCGTTCGGCCCAGCGGAGGCCAGGCAGTCCATCCGGATGCGCAAAAGACCTGAGAGGCCGCGGTCCTTTCCTGTTGCGCCAAGGAGCGCGACTGAAGGTCGAGCAAGGGGGGCTAAGAACCACCGCAAAGTAATAGCCCGACCGAATGCGTTCCAAGAAAAGATTCTGTGTATTCAGATTTGACAAATCATGAAAAGGTTTACGTCTACGTAAGATGTCCACGGCATCCACCTTGAGTGA